AATTAGGAAGTAAAAATTCAGATACTGAGACGAATGTCTACATATTTTAGCCTCCGAACAAACAGTTTCTGGATATAAAGGAAGTTTAGATGGCAGCTATAAAGGTTACAGTGCTCAATACACCACAATTTACTGGTTAAAATCTTATCACCTATCACTTTGTTTAACTAAGTTCTTACGTTACTTAACTGAGAAAGACTCACAGGTTTATGTTATAAACATCATTGCTCATAGCATAACCTATAAGTAAATGCTATACTGAACACAAAGTCCAGGGCTATTTGTCACACATAAAATGTTCATCATACTAAATTGTTTCACCTCATTGCTATTTGTCTTCATTATTTTACATACCATCTTACAAAGCAGTGACTTGGTAATATCTTCTAAAAATATGTTGGAATGCTACTGTAGATAACTTTTACATCAACCTTTCTTCCCAAATGATTAACCAGGTTTTGATTAAAAAAGGAAACGTCTATTTCTTGAATGCCTTACTTTTTTTGTTCTTTCATTTATTCACATAGCACTCAAAAAAGCACTGTAAAACGCAAAAAGAGCATACATGCAACAATATCACAGAAAACAGGGTTTAGAGATAAAAAACAGAAGAGAGACTTTAGAGTGATTCTTTTATTATTTATGTTCAATGGACGTGAGGCAAACATTCTCCATATTCCTGGGATTTTCTTCAGATCTTCAGTCACACAATGTGTTCACAGGCAGAGCCCCAACAGTACTATTTAAGGGTCACAGAAAGTTATACAAAGCAGTTGGACTGGGCATTTTAATAGCTGAAATGCTCTCAATTAGCAAAACCAAGATGTTTGGTTATTTGTTAAAGAAGAATAAACAATTTAACCATTTGTTGCAGAGTATATTTGCATATTTTTAAGGTTTTAAATGTTTTAAGAGCTCCATTAAACACAATCTTTTCTTTAATACTTTACCTTTTTCCTGTCCCTTGAACCATTTCCTTTGGAAACTTCCTACCTATGAAAGGAGACATGGCTGCTGTTCAGATGTTCAACAGAAACAGGCCTCTCCTTTCTGTAAAATTAGACTTTACCTTTCCTTTGAAGGGCATGAAATTAACTAGCTTCCAATTTAGCCATAGGCTGTAATCACAAGAACACTCATGCTGTCACAACCACCAGAGTCAATATGTTCACATCACAGAAGAGTACATGCTCAGCATCTTCTCACCGTGGCACTTTGCTCAAGTCCTCCAGTCTTTGATGGATCCTAAAATTTAGCACTCTAAGCCTTATAGAACTCCTTTGTTCTAATTTTTTCACACACTGTATCCCAATATTACACTGTGCTGCTGCATTCCCAGCCTTCATCCCACATAACTCTTTCTCACATCCCTCCACCTTCAGCTTGAATCTAGCAATGCCACTGAACATCCATTTCTCAAAGCTGATTGCAGTGATCTCGAAAATATGAGGCCATCTTAATTCAGGTCTTAATTATAGATAAGGAGCATGTACATACCTTTTCTATGAATATGGAATTATTTTCCTCTTTCAATACACCTTGGGTACATGAGCTGTCCTCTCTTACACTGCACTTGAAATAAAGTTGTACCAGATTCTACTCCAAAATGGTTCTGTTTACAGTAAAATCCAACAAAATCCCCATGGTAAAAGTAAATTTGATTCACATAAAATCTTTCCAGCACCACATTATTTTTCTCCATTTCATTCTTTGACAAAGTACATGGCTCTAAAGGAAAGAGAAATATTCAATGCTAATAAATAAATTATTTTTGAAATTGCATCATTTTGACTAGATTCTATACACAAATTTAGATTACTACCTATTCTCTTACTAAATCGTATAGGAAACCACTATATTTTTGCATACTGCAGATGTATATCAGATATATTTAAGAAAAGCCAGACAAACTTACACTTGCTCCTATTAAAACTTTCATCTCTAACTGAAAAAAATGAGGTTGAGATCTTAAACGTCTAGTTGCCAGCAGTCAATTTACAAATGCTAAGTATCTGAAATATAGACAGAAATAAATCACAATTCTTATTTAGCTTACCCTACCTACCTATACAAACTGGTGGCGAAGTCCACTGTCCTTCAGAACAGTAGATCCTCTCAGATCCTTGCAAGAAATGATAGTCAGAGCAGCTATACTGAACTGAAGAACCACTGTCATACTCGGTCAGGGGTGGGAGAGTAAGTGCTCCATTCGCAACAGAAGGTGGAGAGCCACATTTTTCTACAGAAGCTAGTATAATAACGTTAGGAACGTTTGAGAAATATTCAGCATAAGAAACTAGCAAATCAGCAGCTTTAAATTCCTATCAATACTAGATAATTGACAACTCTCAGACAGGGTATTTTCTTAGTATTTCATTGCCTCAGATCAGAATGCAGTCTCCTATTTAATTCTAACCATAATAAATCCTTTGTGTGCAGTTAACTGTTTCAATTTGTGTTCCCACAAAGCTTTGAGTTCCCTGTGCTTGGAGGCCAGCTCCTCCCTCCCTTCCTCATACAGCGCTCCTTATTAAAGGAAGATGAATTGTTTTTTATGCTTAGATATATTTAAAAATATAATTGCATTGTGCAGGGGCCTGGTGAATCCTAAACTTCTTAAGAGCGGATTTTTGGCCTCTACTGAAGTAAACCCTCCTAAATAGCTCCAAGATTGATGAATTAAAAGTGACAACCAGAAAGCAGTCAGTGTTTTACCTTGTGCAACGCATTTTGGATATTTCAGTCTTCCACGGTTACACTGTGTCCTTCCAGGAGATGATATGGTAGTTTGGGGAAAATTGTATCCCTGTTTACATTCAAACTCTATGAGGTCACCATGTAGGAAAATTAATTCTTCCTGTCTCCATTTTAGCTCTATGTTGTTACTGTTCATACTGGTTGCATTCAGAGTACATGGTTCTAAGATATAAAAGTCTACATCAATAAAAAACAATTTCATGTGATTTCTTAACTCCCTTATATAAGAGTTAAGAAAGGAAAGAAAAATCTAATTAAATGGTTCTAAAAGGGTTGAGTACCCTACAAGAAAAAGAATGTATAGACATATAAAAATGAATACTAATATAAAGAAATAGGGTGACGTAACAAATAACATGCATTAAATCACAGGAATCAAATACTTCTGACAAAATCTTGTTTCTACTAATATTTGCAAATATATTGCAACCTGGGTTTACTGTTGAAGAAGAAAATAACTTGTTTACTGTAACTGCTAAAGTATTTTCATAAGGAAAAGAATTATCCATCAAAATTAATAGGTTTGGCTGGCAGCAACTTGGTAAGCACTTCTAGGTTTAAACTATTGACCTATGTCTAAACTATTAACCTAACAAAGTGTTTTGACAGTTTTCTTTGTTTACTTTTATCTTTGTTTTGACACTGATTAAAGTATTTTGAGTTCTTACAAAACCTTTTTGAAGGTTGTGTGTTTTTCTTTGGGCTTTTTCAGGTTATTCTATATATATATATATAAAATATTCTTTGGTTGCCTTTTGACAGATTTCTCAAGACAATGTAACATCACGATCACATCAAGTAACCTGTCTTTCCACTAGTTAGTTACCTTATTAGCTTTTGAAACCACAATTCAACTTCAGTGAAGCCTGCCAGAGGGACAATCATAAAGATAATTAAATTTCTACAAGTTCCTTGAAAATCATTGCCTGATAGAGACCCTTACTAATGTTTTGCTGAAGGAAAGGCAAGGAGAAATCAGCTGTTACACATTCTGATGACAGCACCATAACAGCAAATCAATATTTATATTCTTTCAAACTAATTACAATATGTACTGTTTTTGTCTGGCCAGGTTAAAAAGAAATCTAATGGAAAACATGAAGAGGATGATGTGGTTATTTGGATGCTTAGGAGACAAATAAAATATTCATAGGAAACAAGTTTTCACCTGTTCACAGAGTCCAGAATGAGTTGATAGACAAAAGAACACAAAATAAAAGCCAAGGGTGAGGGTTTTGAAATGAAAGCCAGAGCATCTTTATACTACCTGTTAATCATATCTAAAAGAGCTACTATGACAATGGCTGTAGTCATTTCTTCTAAATGTCTACTGAAGGACAGGAAGAAATTCACTGAAACTGATGACACAGGGAGTTCAGAAATTAGAAAATCTTCCAAGATAATAGTTATAGCTAAGTTCTAGAATATCTCACTTAGGAAAATAGAAGAATCCATTTGACTGGGGGCTTGTAAGAACAGGCCAGAGGGACGTCTAGCAGGAGTGACCTAGTTATATTTGATTTTGCTTCACTCTCATGTTTCTGGAATCTTTATTAGCTCAAATGAAAGAGGAGATAGTCATGAAAGGAATATCTTAAATTTCTTTCCAGTCTTGTCTTCCTATATTATGTGTGACAAAACTTTTCTTTTTTCCCTTGCAAGACTTACCTAAGCAAGTTGGTTGTTGTGTCCAGTTTCCTTGTTCACAGTAAACAGTACTAGGTCCATCCAAAAAATGGTAGCGCTGGCAACTGTATTCTACTGAGGAACCGTTTTTGTAACTTGTCAATAATGGGCCAAGAAGGATACTGTTTCTAATCACAGGTGGAGAGGTACAGTTTTGCTGCATTTCTAAGAGAAGATCAGGAGATAAGTAATTAGATCTTTAAAACAGTATTGACACGAGTGATAGTATCAGAATAGCAACAGACTTAGAGCAAAAATTTACATACAAATAAAGCGTATAACAACATAACTTCTTTTTCAAGTTTCAAAACCAGAGACCGTTTGCCTTACGGAATTGCAGATAGGCATTGTCCCTCTATACTCATCTGTGTCCACTCTTGATTCTTGCTAGTTTACACTAAATACAGACAAGTTGTTTTTCTATGAGGATACTGTCTTTATTTGTTGCTTGAAGTGTTTAGCCCATTATGGGGTTCAAAAGAAATCTCAGTGGAACTACTAAACAAAGGATCCCCAAAAACTCCTGAATTTGCATGTTTAGGCAACGCTAACAAAAGAGGTACAAAATGACTGAAAGTAAATGCTAATGAATGAAGTAACCAAAATTGCAAATGCAGTACAGGCTTATAGATGTAACTTATAATCACTAGAAACAAGCAATCGTGGTCTTTGATCCAGTCAAGCTGACTGCTACATTAATATCTGTAGCATATGCAAATGCTTTCAAGAGCAAGGAACTGTACTATAGCAAAAAGAGTAATAAGAGTAGTCATAAAACTCCTATAACAGTAGTGGAGAGAACTGAATTTCTTGTTAAACAGAAAAGCAAGGTTCACTTACTTGTATCTTCACTGTGATATGTTTTGCTTGCCCTTAACGCTGCGTTTTCCTCAAGTGATGGTGGTGGCTCAGGTTCCCATTTCTCCATAGTTCCTAAAACCACAGCAGAAACTTTAGAAAAGGCTTTCTCAAAAATAATTTGTTTTCAAACACCAAAACATAGAAAGTTTGATGCTTTGTAAGATGTAACAAAATTGGTATTCCAGGGGAAAAACCACAAAACATAGATTTCACATTAATTCATCTAGGCCATCCTGCTTCTTACTACGTCAGTGATGGATTGTCTTCAAGTTATACAGCACTTTTCCTCTCAAGCATTTGATGGAGGAGGACATAAACAGTTTTGCAGATATGGAAATTGAGGCTCTTCAGGAAAGTAAGACGTTATTTGAAGAATTGTTTCTGTTCAGGCCCCAGTCTTAACAAAACTACTAACCAATACAAATGGGGGGTGAGGTCCATTTTCCTTTTTCACATTGGATTTCCTCTGTGCCTCTCGTTTCAAAGTTACTCTGACACTGTATATGAACTTTGTCTCCATTATGATATGTTCTTAAAACTGCGATGATGTGGGAGTGAGGAGGACGAGGTGGAGGAGGACATTTATTTCTTACATCTGAAAATAAAAAATACATATTGTTTGCTCAAATAATAGAATTTTAGTCAAGCTATCAAAACAGTAAGCAGGTTTCACTAAGGAAAATCATGTACACAATTCATTTCACTTTACAGTATGGAAGCCTACCATTCAGAAGACATTTTTGGCTGATCCAAAGTAACTGTTTACCTTCATTTCCTCACCAAAATGAAGACTCAGAACAAAAACTGATTTTACATTCAATAAATAGAAAAGATGAAATATGCTATTGCACTGTTATAAGCAAACTCGTAATTTCTGCACAAGGACTCCAGGAAAGTCTCCAGGAAATTTTTAAATTCTTTATTCGTAGAATATTTAATTGTTGATGCTTATACATCGCTTCTAATTCCACAGAAAACAGTTGTCATCATACCTAGCTCCCTGTCCTGAAATGAAGTGTGTGATCAGTGCATCTATCCTCAAAACCAGATGTAGGCCACGTTCTTAATCTCCTGAACACCCAACGTTCTCTGCACTCACTTAGAAAAAAATTACTGCTTTCTCCTAAAAATAAGTATAGGACTGCAGTCCCATTACCTGTTATCTGCTTGACAGATTCTAGTGCACTTTAAACTATCTTCTAAGAAAGAAACACCAATTTCATCTTTTTACTCAGTCATGCAGTTTCCTATAAGATTAGTTATAAAGGATTATTACTATGGGGTAGGGACAGAGCCTGAAGCTCAGAAGTAATTTTCATCAATGGAACAAGGTCCACATAAGATAAAGACCCATGACTATCACAGCATGTTAGTAATATTATGAAATCTAAGCTAGCCCAAATGTTAATTTCTACCCTTTTCTGCTGTGTTCTATAACTTGGAAGTTCTGTTTGGGAATCTCCAATATCCAGAATCTCTTCTTTGGAGAAGTGGTAGTAATTGCCAAATGAATGTTTCTGACCTCATGAGGACCACTCTAGCTCTTTCTGTTGAAAAGATGTACAATTTGGTGAGGCTGTAAAACTCTTAAAAATACTGTATACGCAAGCTCAAGGAGAAACTTTTAAACAATTTTATTCTTAACGTGGTCTGAAGAGGCACGTTCCCACCTCTCACAGGTCCTACAACATGGTTGCTTAATCCTTCACATCATCTGAACACGGTTTAACTTTAGCTTCAGGGGCTAAACAACTTCTCTTAGTTATTGATTTATTGCTTTCCGCTTCTTCGGGACACAAGAGCAATACACAGAGGAACGTCAGGAGACAGCATCAGCTATGTTGTTAGAAGCCCACCGCTGACACAAAGACACAGGCAGAAGCAGACTAATTCGTTGTTGTTACTTACTCCCTGTTACCTTGGCTCCGTGGCCTTCTGATAAATTTTGATTTCTATTTAGGTTGTAAACTGGTATAAACCTATATTTTTATTGTGGGTTCATAAAGCATTTCATGAAAGAAGGTGCTGGTCTTTCACTGCAACTTTTACATATTACAACAGTACATATATGGTACCTTCACATATTGGTGGATCTGGATACCATCCAAAATAATAACATTGAATTAGGTCAGAGTCACTGAAGGAATAATTTTCCTCACAGAAAAAGTGAACAACATCTCCCTCATCATACACTTTCTTCACAGGATAGAAACCTCCATGATCTATTGCACTCAAAGAGCAGAAAGTTGTTTCTAGGAAGAGAAAACACAGCAGGGAAAACCCGTTGAGGAAGACATTTGCTTTTTCCCAGCAGTTTATAAAAATGAGTTTGTTTTGTTCAGATAAAAATAAGTCTGGTTGAACATGAGTTATTTTCAAGCCCATTACATACTAGTGCAGTTTGGAGTAAGGGACCACCCATGTGCTAGACATACTACTTCTTCTGTTGTGTTTCCTCCGGCAGTATGATATCCCTCATCACATTTATATAGCAGCGTTTCATTCACTTGGAGCTCTTGCTGGGTTGTGAAGTAGTAGCCGTGATGTAAATCGGGCACTCGACAGGACTCTTAAATAAGTAAAACACATGTAAATATTTACTGTGCATTTCATTTAAAGTTATTCATCTAAGATTTTTCTTAGATTCTCCAGAAAAGTGGTCACATCTGAGAAAAAAAAAAAACTTTGCAAGTTATAACTAAAAAAGCAATAGCTTGCATAAGTTTTCCATTTGGGAACAAAATGTGGATGGAAATGGATTTATATGAAACAAAGATTTTATTTATACTGATGTTTTCTATATATAATTTTATCTATACCAATTCACAAGACAAGCAGCTTGTGAAATCTGACAATTTCATCCTGCAAGAAACAGCTGAGAATCTACTTCAGATTATTCAAATGATAACCTAATACAGGCAGTTTGGCCCTACGGGTACAGCGAGGACAGCAGAATTATAAAGAAAGATTATAAAAGAGGAATGTAGGATTATACCAAATTTTTTAGTACAGCTTGGCTGGGAGGACCATCCTCCAGGGTGACATTGTACTGTTCCTTCAGTACCACCACTTGGAGTGTAGTAGCCTGGATTACATTTGTATTGCAGCTTCTCCTGTAGTTTAAAGTACACTTCTGTACCATAAAAGACGCCATTTTCCAAAGGAGGTTTGTTACATTTTTCTAAATGAAGGGAGAAAACTTGGTTAGGATGAAAGAATTAGCAGGATATTTTCATTCTCTGAAACCTAGATAAGCACCTTTAATGCACATAGATAAGCAAGGGAAGGGAGTTTTTAACTTCCTTCCCGATCTAACCTTAATTTTCTTGATTTGTTGAAGAATTTCGATCACAATCGCCAAATAAATACTTCAAGTGCTAACATGGAACATAAACAACCAAGGAAGGTGGAGCTGGGGAGACTCAAATACACCTCTGGGAGGGAACTGTCACTTAGTTTTCCCCAAAATAATGAGACTTTCCTGGTTGGAGTCCTTATAAAAACACATATGGTAAGAACCCTTAAAATATATATATTATAGTAAAAGTGATTCATATACAAACATATATAGCTCATATAAAGGTTTGATTTCTCCTTGTTGTCATAACTTATGCATTTTATCCGTCTTGTTCTGCAGCTTCTGTTCCCAATATGTTCAAGGAAATCTAGATGAAGAACTTAATTTCATTCTTGCTAGAAGCAATAAATAAAATTAACTCACTGTAGCATTGTGGCACTGGAGACCATCCTTTTACTGTACAAGTTATTCTTCCATCTTGACTCCCAGTTTCAGTTGTATAACCAGCCACACAAGAATAGGAAAGCTTTTTTTCCTTATGCATAGGAAAATAGTAACTTTTGAAATGATAATAGTACTGGGCAATCTTCCCATTTTCTATATGTGGCAAATCACAAGGTTTATCTACAAATAGATAAAAGCATTTTTCACTAAAAGTATCACTCCATACATGGGGGTTTTTTTGGTATTAATTTGTTTAAAGTTAGTTGGTTTGATTCAGGCTTTCAAACAAGGTGAACGAATGCTTACAAGGTCAGAGTCTGTGTCTTTGGCAGTCCCCGTTATATCAGAAACGATTCATCTAAGTTTGCATGCTTATTCTATTTTTGTTTTTTTTTTTTAAACTCATCCTAGGCAAGAAGTACTAAGACTAATTCAAATTAAAAGGCACCAGAAATATGAAATAAAGGTCAAGTCTAGGGCACATGTTCTATTTATATGCCTACCAGGCAACATAAGAGGATAATAGAAAGCTTTAAAAAGGAGTCGCACTGAATGACAGTAAGACATTAAACAAAGAAACAAGCCCCACAACGCTTCTGTTTGGGTTTCTTATGTGGGTTTTTCAGAAAATCTCTCCAAGGCCATCTAACCTGAAGAATCAAAATTTAAAATCCAAATTGCCACCTATGCAACTCATAGGTGGCAGATGATTAATCTGATCAAGCAGAACTTTTCCCAGAAACTGGTACTGCTGCCTTACCCTATGAATGTTAGAAAAAAAACTAACAGAAAAATATGGTCCCTTACTCAATAAATAGCCACTAGAATTTAATGCACAGCAATTTTATAAAATAGAAAGTATCAAAAAAAAAATTATCTTGTTATAATTCCCTCCCTCACACAGCCACTGTATTGTATCTGAATAAAAGAAATTGTGAAGGTCATTAAGATTTGTGTAGTTAGAAGTCAGAAATGGTTGCTACCTAAATACCTTTAATGTTTGACCTTCCAGAGCGTATCAGTTTAAGTTAAAACTGTTTTGCATAAGGACAAAAGTCTAGTGAAGACAGAGGTAGTTGCAACAAATACCCCAGCTGTTCAAGTTAAATACATATTAGCAGATACAAAGGAAATGCCAAAAAGGGATACCTTTTCAATTCATGAATGCTTACCCTCATGAAGCAGTCCATAGCTTTGTGAATTTGCTTGGAGTTCAAATGATATGCAAACTACATAAACCCAGGAATAGAAAACAGTACTGAAAGCAGGGATAGAGAACAGCACCAGGAGATGTGAAACATCACCCCAGGCTAGCTGCTGCATGTTCCCATTTAATTCCCATTCTTTTATTGTGTGGCAAGCCGATATACTTCAATCGGTGATACACTTTAGTACATATAATGCTTATTAATGCAGGATCCCATTTGTACATGTAGAGAGCCTCAAAGACCTACTCAAATACATTTCTAAAATTCTGTATTCAGAAACAGTTTCATCTTTCCTTTATACAGCTTCAAAGTTTAGGTATGAATTTATAGCTCTGAAAAGCAGCAATAGTTGAATCATGATTATTAGCCATCTCACAACAAAATTATATTTAAAAAACTGCTTATTCTTGGTGAAGATATGAAAGTCACTACTCTTATCTAGAACACGCAGTTTAGGTTCAATATACATTTAATAATAGAATTCAGTGCTTTTACCTTCTGCAAAGAGTTTGCCTGAACTCATCATAACTAGGAAGAAAATCCAGCTTTTAAGTCTCATTTTCAGTACTGTCTCCGTCAATAATTTCCACCATTCTGTGAAAACTCACTAACTGTTACTTTAGTAAATAATTAACTGAATTTTCAAAGGTATTCACAAACACGTTGATATCTGTGATATTTAGTAATACACAAGTTACTTCACTGAAAACACTTTTTACGTATTTTAATTCTCCAAATACCCTAACTAGATTTGCAGAGCTCTCCTTTTGTTTGGCATACTTTTCTCTAGGAATTTTAAAGAGTCAGTAGAGAATTTATCATTTTATAGGCAAGAAAACTTATAGAACAATTTACACTAATTAAACACCGTCCCCCTCAGAACCTCCTAGAGTTCCAGGTTTAAAGGGCATTCTGTTATCACATTATTTACCTTGGCTAAAATAAGAGGAAACAGAAGACTCCCTCCCCCCTCCCGAATCAGCTTCGTTCTATATTTATTCTGCAAGCTCTTACATTAAGAACAGAGTCACTGCTGTTGTCTGTCCATAAGTTTTGTAGCATAAAACTAGCCCTTTTTAAACAAGGAAAAATAAATCTCATTTACTATACATCATCTCCTAAAAAGACTCAAGTAGTTTAACTAAGTGCTTGATGGCGATTAGTTGATTTAGCAACATGCTCCACCCTTGGAAAGAGTAATCTTCAAATTTGGAGGTGGGGGTTATCATTTTACTCTTTTGGCTTTCTTGGACTTGCTCTAGGAAAATGCAGTTTCAAGGCACAAGAGAACAGAACTTCAGGCAGATGCTGCGATGAACACCATGCTTTTTTGTATTGCTGACTAGATAGGAAGAAAGCCCTCACAAATTGCCACCTGTAAAATATACAGGTCAGAGATTCACCCTTCTAGTTTTTCTTATTTAACATCCCTTTGTTCCATCATCATCTTTTATTATAAGTTACCATTTTTCCTAAGGTCACATAGGATCCCTTAGCTCACTAGAAAGTGAACTCAAGCTCCCCAAAGCACTAGCCAATTTTGAAATCAGTAGACTCTCCCTCCTACCTATACCTCTCCAGATCAGGCAAACGAGCGTAACAGCAGGCCCATACAAGCGATTGTATTTAACAGAACTCGACAATATTTAACCAGTGAGGAATATCATGCCATTTGTAAGATTATGGTTGTGTATTTACAGTATATTAGTGCACTAATGAAATTTCCAAGGCTTTATGCTTTTATTGTACAAATTGCTTTTAGCAGTAGTACAAAATAGGATTTCAAAAGTTGTATACAACATAAAAAAAGTTACAAAAAGTTAATTGCAATTTGAAAAAAACATTTTCCAGGATAGCTTTTGGCACTTATTTTTCTCTCCGAGTCAGTTAACTGTCTGCTGCCCACATACTATACAAATGCATTTTCATTTACATAATTTACATTTCAGTAGCAGGCAATACCAAGTGTATCCATCACCATCAGAATTGCTTGCAGAGGATCCACAATTTCTTGCATGTTATCTTTCCTCAAAACCCAGTCTGGTTTAATTCTGTGGAAATATTAATGGCTTGTCATTAAAATAATATTTGCGATAGCAGAAACAGCAAACTAACTTTCAAGCTCTTACCTCGAAACTGTTTTTGTTCTTACAGGAGTTACTGGAACAAAGGAAGTTCCACTACTGCAAGTGTTTGTTTTTTGTTTCACAAGTGTTCTTTCCGCATCCATTTTGTGTTTGCGAGCTGTAAGTTTATACAGGCTTTGAATGCAAGTAACTGCTCTTGGTATGCTCCGAATTTCCTGAGAAGTGAAAATACACAGTCAATAATACTCATTCAAAAGCATCTTAACAAATCAAGAAAAGAAACCTACTTTATTCAATGAAAACTGAATGTTCACCATTTAAGCTGAGCTCACAAGTACAGTGTAACCATTTCAGAGCCAACACACCTACTATCAGTCAGCAGTCTAATGCTATTAAAATGCTTAGCAACTAGTACACTATTTCAGATTTCAGAAAACTCAAGAAGCTCTCGCAAGTTAGATTTTACTAATTTCTTGTTAGAACCAGTTTTAACATGTTATGCCTTCAGCATGTCTCCAATGGACAGTACAGAAACAAAAATTAGCAGTTGAGGCTGCCTTCACAGGAAGGAAGGACTAAGACAATGGTCAGAGTTCAGTGTGTAACTGTACTGCTGAGCAGCAAAAAACCTACCAAGAACAGCTTCAAAGATTATCTGATGCATTAACAGCTGGTGGTTATTTACAGCCTAGAACCCAGGCTACCCAAATACTCCCATTAGGTATACAATCAGAAAGCATGCACAAAGGAAATTTCTTTCCAAAGGAGGCTATATCTATGTTACAATAGGATGTGTCAACACTGTATCATTAAACAGTTTTACTGACAGGTTTTTTTTAATTGACAATAAAAGTCTTTAACTTTTTCTGAGCAGCAAGGGGAATTTAATTTCCCCTTTTAGAAGGGGAAAAAGGTTATTAATCAGCAATAAAAATGGTATCTAATGCTAAGTAATTGGTAGAAAGTTGTCATCAAAATCTGTGAAAGGTAAGGACTGCAAGACCAGAATCTTGCAAGGATTTCAGTTTCAGAACCCAAATGTCATTGAAGAGCTCTGGGTGACTAGGGCATACAAAACAAAATAAGCGTGATCCTCATCTTGCAAATGCATTGTGCATCAACAGAGTTTAGTTACAGTCAAGATTACAGCTGTAATGGGTACTAGTGGGGGGGAGGGGTGGAAATACAAGACGTGCAAGAGGAAAACCAGAATACTGTTAAAACAAACTATTAAAACAAAAATATTTAAGTCTCACCAAAGCTCTCTCTGAGTCCTTTGAAAGGATAGCCAACAAACAACAGGTCTTAGTGAAAATGCTTCCTCCTTTCTCCGAAATTTTGTCCCCAGCTTTCCCTCTGTACATTTGCAGTAGGTCCAGTAAGGTATCTATAGAATTTTCAACTTCATAAACTGCTTGAGTTGTTCTTTCATACTGTCGTATGAATGACACAAAAGAGGTTATACAGAAAGCTCTTAAAATTACATTTCAGATTAGAGGAAAAACCAAAACCATAACTGCCCTTTGACTATTTCTGTAGTTTGACATCGAAGTGACTAAAAACCACTTTTGTACGTTACACTGTTGTGATAAGATTACTAGAGAGCAAATTTAGGAATGACCATGAAACTTAAATAGATGATATGGCACTTATGTCTGTTAACTGATTAGGTTACTACTTAATTCATGAAAGCTTTCAGAAACAGAAAACTACCCTTTGTGCTTTTCCCTCCCATTTAAAACACCACAGAGTCTGGTTTTACATTTAAAATAGCAGTCATTCTGCAGAATAAATTTACCCAGAATGTTTCATTATTTTTTCTGAAATAAGAATAAAAGACCTTGAATGTAAACGTCTATAAGATGGATATAGAACAAAACACTACATTTAGCAAATATTTTAAATTTCAAACTAAAAGCTCTAATACGATCTATTCATAGTTGATAACTACAGTACTGAAGCAGCTTTAGGTATTTTAAAAAATAATCACTTTGGAAGAAATTAGAAAGTATAAATGTGACCAAGTATTCTATGACATGAACTCTGAAAAGCAGCCTGTTTTCTGCAACATTTATGTTTCTACCTCTGAAAAATTCACAGGTTATCCTAACCACTACAGTTTCAATTTCTACACAAAATAGTTCTATTCAATATTTGGGATATCCTGCAATAAAATCAGTTTAAAAGTCAAATTCAGTAGTTAAGGTCCATGATTTTTTTTTTTTTTTATTTTTAAACCAACTGTAGTAATTACGAAGTTAATTTTCCTGAAGTAAATATCTGGTTTCAAAGCAACTTGGCTCAGACTTCAGAGCTATTAATTTTGTTGCCACAAATTTGTTCAGAAATTCTGTGGATAAAAAAAAACAGCCTTCAATAAATCAAGTAGTCTACAGCTTATAAATCTGCAGAAGCAAAATACTGAAATTACCTTTGAAACATTAAGTAGAACTTGAATGGAATATCTGATCACATCCATACATGGAACACTCCGGTTGCAACTTCGTATCAAAACAAAAATAGTGAAGATTGCTCTGCTCTGGGCCATATTTTCACAACAGAGTGGGGACAGTCTGGTAACCACTTCTAAAATAATAATAAAAAAGTTTTAAGCAAATTGTGACACTTCCACAATTTATTTTCAAAATAATAGGGCTTTCTCTTATTTTTAAGTAGACCTCATGAAGAAGTAACATCAGTAATTATTGCTTTAAGCAGATATTTCTGAAATAACAACTTTAATATTCCAGACTAAAGTTTAACTAGACAAAACAATCCACAAACAACCTATACTGTCAGAAAACTAATAAATTCATGATAGGTAGATAGCTGTCTTTTATGTAAAAAAAATAGTATTAACTAGGACTACCTTGCTCTGCATAACTTTTTAAATATTGTTTTTAATCAATAATCTGATATTAGTCTGGGAAAAAATTCATACCTGTTTTATATTCTCCAGCTCAGTCACATTTCGCAATCATATAGAAAGCTATCACGAACCCTTCTCAGCTGAGAAAGTTTCAACCACCGTCATTCTCGAAATCTTTTAGTTATAATAAAATGAAATACTGACCTAGATGCTTTAATGCTGCAAGAATATAAGACAGATGTTTGTATTTTAGAAGGTATTCGATGGCAATTGCAGTTCTGTTACATAATTTGTTTTCTTCTCTGCTCTTTTCGTTAGCCTTTTCCAAACTTCGTCTTAAAGCTTTAGTTTTTGCTGTGTCATTACTCTTTCTCCAAGAATATCCTCTCCACAATGCCTATAGAAAAGGAATTTCAGAGAGGGAAAAAAAAAAAAAGAATTGTGAAGATAAGTGACAATATAGTAGAATTTCCATTAGATTTCAAAATTGGTTTTACAGAAGTCTGATTATTCATTTTTAACTAATTATTCAATAATCAAATTCAGTATTCAACCTTCCAAATACTGGATTTTCAGGACAAAAGATCAAAATAAGCATGCAAGCATATATATGCCCCTGCACTCTCCCATAAGTCACCTCAAACCAGTATCTGCTTACTATTACTTCATGAGCTGTTGGCGTTTAGCTTTGATGTCTAAAAATAAGGCTGACTTAGCTTGTCATACAACTGACACGTTCACTGATGAAAGCAAACATTTTTTCTCTCCCTCAAAACCTGTAAGAGAAAAAAAGTAAGAAAACTGCATATTTCTTACAGGAAGTATTTACCTGAAACTTAATTATTCCAATTACAATTTTTCTGCTACGTCTGCAGACAAGGAACCTTCTTACATTCCGTTGAATTACGGTTGCTGCATGACTTCTGCGATTTAGCCAGACTCGAATCATTCGTTGTAACTGAACAATTCTCTGATAATCTCTTCGAAATCTTTTCTGTTGTACTTTTGCTCTGAACCATCTCTGTTTAAAATTAAAGTAGGTTGTGATTTATTTAAGATTCTTTCTTAATTCCCATTTCCTATCCTAAACAAGTATCGATACAAAACTGAAAAATATTTTTAACATGAATTTTGACACATACAGGTGCTAAACATCACTAATTCTCAAATAACAACCATGATACAGCTCTGGCACAGGTTAGCTGAAATGCAAGAGTGCAACATGAAACCTTAACTAGCAGCAGCTGGTGACATTTGGGTCTTTTTCCTCTCTCATTTACCTCTTAAGAAGGGCCATCACTCCACTTCTCTCATTTCCCTGCTCCCTTTCTTCCCCTCTATACAGAAAGGAGGGAAACGGGGCAGACCCCTCTTCTACCCATTCGCTGTTGCTTTAAGGGGAAGATAACTAATAGGGAGAGATGACAGATTTGTATGTGGAGGAGGAGTAGGGCAAAGTTTGCCATAACTGCCTAGATTAAATATCACGTTTACATTAAAGATGTTGACTTCGGCAGATTCCTGTACCACTGACAGGTTAGAAAACATCCAGATAAATAGATCTCTGCATCCCAGGGGCTGGCTAGGGTAAGCAGATGCTCTTCAACTCATGAGCCGTAAAAGTTATCATGTCTAAGCTTTCCTACCTCCAGTAGGACATAAAGAAGTAGGCTGAAACAGCACTTAGATTCCTTTAGCAACCCTGAGAGTGTAAAAGGAGCACAAACTTTCACGTTCACTCTCAGTTTTAACATCCCTAAACCTCCAGAGCCTGCTGAGATCCACTCTAAATCTATTATGCTTAGTTGGGAATAAGCAGCATTATTTAAGAAATTACAGTCTCTGTATCTTGCATTTTCACATGCAAAAAATCTACAGCGTCTTAGTGCTGCAGTTTAGCAAACAGAAAATAAACTATGTTACACAATCATTCATCCTTAATTAGCTAACCTGTATTACTAGAACAGAAGAAATCTTGTTTTGTGCAAGTTTCAAGACAAGGTGCCTTCTATATGCCCTTTGAATTTTAATTGCAGAGAAATGATGATATGCAGCCGCTGTAAAATAAAGTAGCCTCTTCTTTTGTTTCTGTTCTGAAATCTGCAGAAGGAAAAGAGAACAAGGAACATCATTACTTTTCATTTTCAGAGGTAATAATCTTCCAGGCAAAAGACAGCATGCTGATATACTATTAGAAGCTAAAGAATCATCTCTGAAGTTGTTAGCTCAAAATTAAGTCAGTCTCAATCCTGGGTCTGAAGCATAAAGAGTAATATAGAGAAGTGACTGTAAGCAATGACATTAATAGACAGCAGAGAACAGTATAGCACTGTAAGAGTGTCTGTACAGAAGAATCAGTTAAGAGCAAGTCAGATATCAGAAGCTTAAACAACAACAAACAACTATTTTAGTACTAAAGCATTGTGAGAAAGGATTCAAACTGTATTCTGATCTATACTGATGCACCCAATTCTCAAAGCAGTCAACAAGAATCAGAGTTCAATAACTAATCAGGTTCTTATTTTCTTGCCAGCCACAATTAACACTAATACTGCTCTGGAGGTATTTTACACCAAGAGTAAAGTTTTAATTTGAATTATACCCAGCTTTTTTCTGACTAAATAACCTCGGATAAATGCTTGTAGTTTAATGATGGCCCTTCTAGTTTTGCTGTATTTTACTAACTGAAGCCTGCCTTCCTGCCAAGCTCTCAGATGTTTTTGGATGATCACAGCAGCAGCTTTTTGTTGAACAAGTTTCCTTCTCTCCTTAACGCCTCTGTATGTTGCTTGGATCAAATGTGCAGCTTGAAGCTTCTAAAAGGATTTTAAAGGGTGCATTGATACTTAAAGGTTAGTGTATTACTGTCACAGTCAATATATATTTGAACCTTAGGTCCGGTAACTCTTTTCCATCATAAGAAAAAATGCTATCAAAGAGCAAAAATAAAACGGGAAGCACAAAAAAGTTCATTCAGCACTAGTTTATAACTACGTACTTCCACAAACTGAAAGGTCTTTTCCCTTATCCAAAGGGTCTAAAAAAATATTGGCAATATAACTTAATAATCTAGTAGCTTAATTGCTTACATAAGATTTTTACATTTCATCTTATTACCAGTATAGAGAAGTGCAATCCAACAACTAGAACAGTTTGAAAACAAGATACAGCTTGGTTGCTCAAAGCAAAAGGAAACAATATCTTGAAGATAGAACAGTTTTAATTTGAAACAATCTTCATTCTGGCCCCACCTTCTTCTTTTCTATACATTAGGCACATTGATGGAAAAAACTCACTCATATACACTGAAAGCCTTTAATAATAAATAACAACCATGACAGAGTAGAGCTTAAGTGAAAACATACCTTTCTTATTAGTCTTCTAGTCCTGTATTGTCTATATGCCAGCTGAATCTTCACTACAGCTTTCTTAGCTGCCAGAAACTGATGGCGAATTGTTTTTGCAGTAAGGGTTGCTCTCCATCTTCTTTGGATGATAATTGTACAGACTTTCATTTTCAGAAACCTAACATGAAAATATATTTTAGTGTTTTTTCTAGAAGACTAAGAACACTTCATTGTGCGCAGCTCTGGTCTCCAAATCTCAAAGAGGATGTTGTAAAGTCAGAGAAGAATGACTAAAGTGGCAGAGAAGATTGAGCTGTTGACCTAGGTGCGAGACTAGAAAGAATGGATCCTTCAGAGGGAAAATGAAGTGGTGGTGAGGGAAAAGAGAAACAATGAAGGCTTACAAACCCATGAAAATATGCTGAAAATGGAACTGTTACTAAACAAATCTTGCTACACTAAAAGGATATCCAGTGATGCTAGCAGAAGGATGACTAAAACAGAAGAACACACTTCCCCCCCCTCCCAACAGTGGATACTTCTAGAACTTGCTGCCACAGGAGGTTTTTTTGGAGGCCAACAAAATTGACAGGTCCATAGAGGCTACATCCTTGCCTGTGCAAGGATGCACTCAGCATTCAAAAACCATACTGAAGGGTGCTGAAGGAGCACAAGAAAGGACCTTAAAAAGTAGTCACATTAATGTACTCTCTCTAAATAGCATCTCTTATCGATACAGGCAGGAGACAGTTCTGGATGATAACGGACCACCAGTTGATGTAGTAGGGCATTTACTACATAACTATCAAAAACAAATAGGCACAAGATAGTTTACTATTCCATTATGCATTAGATAGGAATAGGTTTTCAGCCTGTTAGTTTTATGTTGGAATTTTAACAGTATCAGAAAAACCCTTCATGTAAACAAAAATAAGTGAAAATAGACCACAGTTTACTCTTTCAGGTCCATAATATGCAAAGTTTGACAAGATTCTGAGGTAGGTTCCAGTCTACAAAATATTTAAGCATAAGAATAATCTTGCACAAAACAATCCCAGCTACATTAACAGGATTATGCTCATACACAGTTATATTCATGCCTGAGGGTCAGAATCTGAGAATCTATAGGCATTTGCCAGAGCGTAAAGCAGTACTAAACAACTATACAATAAAAGCTCTTAAAAGTAGAGAAACTTATGCAAATTGTGATTCAGTATTACCAGATCCTCTGCTGTTTTGTTCTGAAGCGACTCTGAACAACACAAGTAGCTTTTACCAAGGATGCATATTCATTTCGTGCTTTACAGCCTTGAAACCAGGCTTGAATTACTCGTGCTGCTCTCATTTTGTCAGCAAACTGCTTGGCTTTAAGTCTTCTATATGATGCCTATTGAATATACAAAAAGAAAGAAAGAAAGGAAGAAAAAAAACAAGACTTCTATTTTTTGTTTAATGGAACAAAACAAAGGGCAAAAAGCCTGAAAGGATTTTAGGCTTCCCATCTCTGCAGTATTAAACCTGTCTAATTTATCATGCCTAGAAGATATTTTATAAAGCAAGTGAAATGCAGTCAGAGAAATACCACGCATGCCGCTCTCTGATGTCAGTTTAAAAAACAAACAAACAAACTGTAATTACCTGAATCGTAATGGCAGCTGTTTTCATTTGCTGATATCTTTGCTGTTCAATATTTCGCATCTGATAGGCTCTGTAGTGCCGCTGTATCAGTACAACAGAAAACTTGTACCGAAGGTATTCCTGTCTCTGAATAGACCCACGGAAAAATGCCTTGAAAGACAAAGACATAACCTTGGAATATTTCACCACTTGCATGGTAAATAGAAGAGGTTTGCATAGTTTTAAGTATGGCTCTACTCACAAACTCAAGTTCTTACAGAGTCAAGAACATAGGTAATTTTAAAATACTTCTGATATCCCCATTGATTCCTTTTTCTTCCTTTTAATCAAAATCATCACATTCTACCTCACATGGTTCAGGATGCATACAGTTATATATTCAGAAAATGACTAAGAAGCTGCCACTTGCCAGGAAAAAGTGAAGTGAGGAATGCACACCTGTTTTCTTATCTACCAAACAGAACATATAAAGAATAGGATAGCAATAGTAACCCAAGAGATCATTATGGGATATTATCTATCTCCTTTTCCTTGATGATCTGGGGGGGGGGGGGAAAAGGCCTTATATTCCAATACCACCCTGAAAATAAATCTTTTCCCTTTTCCTTGAGATAAAATAACTGAGGAGACCTCAGGAAGTAAGTTAGAGCTTTTGGTTCTGCTTTTCCTTCTGGGAGAAGTACATACTTCCACCAAATACTTGGACAGGCTTGCTATATAGAGACAGATAGCAATTCTCACTACTCCTGGTCAACTGCGTTAGTATTTTATTCCATCAATGCGAGAAGGAAAAAATTACAAATTTAAGTACTTTCCATTCCTCAGAGGACCTCTAGGAACCTCAGAGAAATCAAAGACTACACTTTCACTCTAGGTTTCGTGTGGCTCCCCTCAAAGGAGAAATTACACTATACAGAAAGAAGGAAATTTCTCTCCCTGCATTCCTCTGCAAAACGTTAGCTAGGCACTAAAATTAGTTTGGGCCTTTTATTAAGTCTAACAGGACTAATATGATTGACTTAACTCATGTCATTCTAAAATTGACTCTTAAAAGGCAAGCAGCCATTGTCCCTTCTTACCATTTACTTCACACTGTACTCAATAGTGGAGTCCACTCATTGCAGTGCATCAACAAGACAGCTTTCATTCCCATTCAAATCAAAGTAAACGTCCATTAAGCTATTGTTAGTTATATCGGAGAAAGCCAGTTAAGACAAAGATGTTAAAAGGACACACACACACACCAGTTTCAGAACTTAAGTTTGAAGAAGTAAAATCTTAGGGGGGAAAGACAGCCAAAAAAAAAAAAAGAGCGAGAATATTACTTGTTGAGTATCTCAGCAGGGAAAGACAAGAAAGATTTATTTCTGTGCACCGCAGAAGCAAGCTATGCTTCACATATCTGCCATACACCATACTTCAAAACCTGACTCTAACATTTGGCTCTGAACGGCTGTAAGAGTAGTAAGCAATAATGTATTAACAAGTACCACTATACATTCAAAAGTACCTGAATTTTTATTGCACTTTCTTTAATTCTATGAAATCTCTTCTTTTCAATGAATCCCCTGACTCTAGCCTGTACAATGATGATATTCTTCCGGGTTTGCAAGTAAGTTGCTCTTTGGCATCTCACAGTCAAATGGGATCGGTAGCATCGCTGTAAGACAATTGCTGCTTTTTTATACCTCACATACTCCAATTTAGTTTTATGCATTAAGTAATAGGCTTGTAATGTAATAGCTGCTGTTTTAACTTGAATAAATCTTCTACGATGCATGGCCATTTGAAGAAAAGACTGAATCTTTCTTGCAGCTCGTATTTCCCTTGCTATTTTTCTTGCTTTTGTTCCTCGAAAGGCAGACTGAATAATTATTATTGCTTGCCTTTGAGCAAAATATTCTCCTTGCTGTAAACGAGCCATATGACATGCTCTGTACCACCTCTGAATAGCAACTGTTGAACTCCGAATCAATTTGTAGCGAGTCTTTGTTCTTTGGCATCGGAACACAGACTGGATGATTGTTGCTGCAGCTTTTTTTGCAAGAAAACGCTTCCTTTCCACGCTCATTTGTAAGAATGATTGAACACGCCGTGCAGCCACAGTGGTTTTATGTAACTGCCTAGCTTTTTTAGCACGAAAAGCTGACTGAATGCAAAGGATAGCCTTTTTCATTTTAACATAATTTTCTACACCAGCTTCTTTTGCCATTTTGGCTCTGAACCTTTGCTGTATAACTCTGACAGCCCAGTGCAACTGTTTGTAGTATCTATATTGTTTATACATACGATAATTGGACTGTATTACAGTTGCCGAGAAATGCATTATTTTCAGTTTCTGTCGTTCCTTCATGCCTCTATACGACGCTTGAATAACAAGAGCAGATCTCTTAACTGTCAGATATTTTTTTCGCTGATTCTTTCCTTCAATGTAGGATCGATAGTAATTCTGTACAACAATAGCTGCGACTCTTATATTTTGATAGGACCTTTTATTCCTGTGCATTCTGTAGGCTGACTGGATTTTCCTAGCAGCTAAATGCATATGCTTAATATTATTTCGCACTCTGATACCTCTGTACACCGCCTGTATACGAATAGTTGCTCTACAAAGAGAAAGATACTCCTGAGTATGACGTCTTGACAAAATCAAAGCTCTATATCTTCTCTGAAGGACAACAGTAGCTGCTTTAAGAGAAAGATATCTTTGACGTTCTCTAAACGCTTTAAAATTTTTCTGAATAACAATAGCAGCACAACGCGTTTCTTGATGTTTTTTTGCCCTTCTGTCTCGAAATGCCTTTTGAATACAAACTGCTGCTTTCTTCAATGAAAAGAAATGCTGTACTGCAATATTCTTCAGGTTATTGGCTCTGTACCTCTTCTGTATTACCTGGGTTGCCCACTGAATCTTCCTGTAATGGTGGTATTGCTTGCACATTCGATAGTTTCTCTGTATTATAAGTGCTGCCTCATGCCTTTTCTTCAATACGTATCTTGTTTTCATTCCTCTAAAGGCAGCCTGAAGAACTAAAACAGAATTGTACACTTTTAAGTATACTTCTCTCACATGCTTTCCTTTCCTGTAAGCACGATAATGTTGCTGTATGACTACTGAAGCAAGCCTGACAGCTTGATAAGAAATATAAATTTTACGCATTCTTAATGTTGCTTGGATAACTGTAGCAGCTTGATGCATCTGCTGTATTTTTTTCCTTACCACAAAGCCCCTATAGGCAGACTGTATGATAACAGCAGCGTTAAGTAAAGAGAGGTATTTCTCACGCTGATGTTTCGCTAGTTTTGTTGCTCGGTATTTTCTCTGAACTACAACAGCAGCTGTCTTCAGGGAAATAAAATGTTTTCTTTTCATAAAGGTTCTAAATCTTCTTTGAATAAGCTCAGCAGATGCACTCATAGTTCTTATAAGTCTTCTTGTTTTCATACCACGGAAGGCAGCCTGGATACGCAGTGCAGCCTTTTTCACAGTCATGTAATTGTGAACTTGTACATTTCGCTCCTTACAGGCACGGAGCCACTGCTGAATCTGTCTAGTTGCGAGTAACAGTTTTCTGAAATCTCTTCGTTGCCTGTACATGCGATAATATGACTGTATTATTGCTGCCGAGCGATGCATAGTTTTTAAGTCTTGCCGAACTTTCAGGCCTCTGTAGGCAGCCTGAAGGATAACGGAAGAATTCTTTAGCTCCAAGTACTTTTTACGCTGTATTTTGCCTAAACAAAATGCTCGATACTGTCTTTGAGTTATAATTGCTGCCATTCTCATTGCCCGGTATCTAACGTTTATGCGATGCATCTTAAACATGGCCTGAATAGAAATAGCTGCTTGATGCATACAATGAATTTGTTGTCTAACTTTTACACCTCTATAAATAGCTTGAATTTTGACCGTAGCTTTCTTTAAGGATAAATATTCTTGCTTTTGACGTTTAGCATGCGTAACTGCTCGATAATGCCTTTGAATCACAACAGCTGCAGATTTAAGTGCTACATATTCCTTTTTTACCAGGTAAGATTTGAAAGCTGCTTGTATAACTGTAGCAGCTTTGCTTAGCCTGCTCAGTTGTTTCCTCACAGTCATCCCACGGTAAGCAGACTGCAAGACTAATGCAGCTGCCTTCATTTCTAGATAAAGTGCACGTTGGGTTTTTTTCATACAGTAAGACCTGAAGTGTCTCTGAATCACTAAAGTTGCTTGTCTTAGCTTTTTAAATTTTTGTCGATTTATATGCATTCTGTAATAGGACTGAATAATTGTTGCATTATGCTTCTTTTGAATTTGCTTTCTCTCAGTTTTTGTTCTCCATATTGCCTGGAGACCTACTACACAGTTGCGCAGCTCAACATATTCTTGCCGCTGTTTCCGTCCTGCAACTCTGGCTCTGTAATGCTGTTGGACAGTTAGCACAGCACGGTAGAGAAGTCTGAATCTTTTCTGAGCCATAAATTTCCTGAAGGCAGACTGTAGTGTAGTTGCAGCAATACGTTGTCTTCGAATCTCTTTTCGTACTTTCCAACCACGAAAAGCTGCCTGTAAAGAAAGCACAGCTGCTCTAGTGGTTAAGAAGCTCAGTCTTTGCTTACTGCCAGTCTTACAGGTTCTGTACCATCTCTGAATCACAATGGAGGCTTGAATCATTGCCCAAAATTTCGTTCTTGCAGCATGAGTTCTAAAAGCAGTCTGAATTTTAATAGCAGCTATGTATTTAAGTTTAAAAGTTTTGTGCGCTTTATAGCCCCTGTAGGCTGCCTGTAAACACACAGCCGCTTTTTTAATTTGCAAGAATTCCTGCCTCTGACAGAGATGCTTTCGGTATGCACGATAGCGTTTTTGGATGACAACAGCAGCATTGTAGATGCTTAAATAATGTTGCCTGTCTCTTCTCATTCTGTAGCATGCCTGGAGAAATATTGCAGTCTTCCTCCACCTTTGTATTTGTTTCCTAACAAGATAGCCTCGAACCGCAGCTTGAATTTTTATGCAAGCTCCCTTTAATTTCCTGTAATCTTCTTTAAGTTGAAGAACATATCTATGAGACCGATACCTTTGTTGGACATAAAGTGTTGCCTTCCTTAATGTACAATAATGCTTATGTGCTTGTCTCATCTTTACAAAAGCTTGGATCTTCACTGTTGCATCTTTTAAGTTTTTAAATCTCTTTCGGATAATATAAGCACGGTAACTTGACTGAATTTTTATCACAGACCTCAATAAGCGAGACTCTTTTCTAGCTTGCATTCCTCTGTAGGCAGACTGCAGGACAATAGCAGCAAGACGTGTCCCCTGGAAAGAGGAAGCTGCTTTTCTAGAAGTGACGTATGCCCTATACCGAGCTTGAATTACAGAAGCAGCATTTTTAGTCTTTTGGTACCTTTTTACTTGTTGGTATTTTCTCACATGTGACTGCAATGTAATAACAGATTGTTTTATGCGTAGAAATCTTCGTTTCTCTTGTTTCGTTCTCCACAGTGACTGAACAACACAAGCTGCTTTTGTTTGCCTGTACAGCATACGCACTTTCATGCCTCTAAAAGCAGCTTGGAGAACTATTATTGCTGCACGTTTTTGCAAATAGTTTTCCCTTGCATTTTTTCCTGATCTATAAGCTCTGTAACACCGTTGAATTGTCACTATTTGTGCCCTATGCTCCTGGTAAATACGTCTTGCCAGCTGACACCTGTACCAAGCCTGAATCTTGATAACACTTTGCTTAATATGTAAATATTGCTTCAAATCTTTGTGCATCCTATACCAAGACTGTATGACAAGGGCAGCTCTCTTTCTTTTAGCCAGTTTTGAAGATTGCCATTTTCGGAAATAAGTCTGCAGTACTAACGTAGCTTTAATTTTCTGTTGAATTTTGTGTGCTCTCCATCTTCTGAATGCAAACTGAATAGTAAGTGCTGAGGACTTTAAGATTTCGTATCTTCGCCGATCTTCTTTCATCAACTTAGATGCGCGCAGATGGCTCTGAATTTTAACAGCAGCCCAAACAATTCTTTTATATGAAGCAACAGACATCACCATTCTTATCCTTGCTTGTACAAAGATAGCATAGTATCTTAGCTGTAAATATCTTTTCCTAGCAGAGTACCTCCTCCAATAAGCCTGAAAGAGAAAACAGCAAGTTTAGTGTTTTCTGCATGACATCTAGGAGTTAAGTCCTAGCCTGGTAGGCCTCAAACTGAGGCCTAAGATTTCTTTATTCATACTTAACTCATAGGAACATAGGTCCAGATCTCTGCATAAAACCAAAAGCTGAACATTTGAAACATTTTTTTTTTAAAAGCAATTTATATGTTGGCACATCGCTAAATTCACCCTAGCCACAAAGATTTCCTCTTCAACTACCTGATGATTTAGTCATTCTTTAATCTCTATTCCAAAGCAAAGTCTTAAAAATGTCATATTTGGTTCTGGGTAATAGCAGAAAAGGTATCATGAAAAACTGAATTAATTATCCAATTACTAACTGCTACTAATTGTTAACTAATTCCTGCCATCTGGAAAGCATCCACTGCAGGTGGCATAAGTAATTTTTTTTTTTTTTAAAGCTTCTTCAGTGATTTTCAGCAGCTGCAAAGAGGTAAGCCAGCACCATCTGATCAGTCCTTACATAGAACAGCTGAAGGCCCACTGTTTAAATCTTTTTGGTATACCAGTACAAAATATTCAGTAAGAAAGAACTAACAATTATAGATTTAACATCACTACGTTTTATTACCATCTCTCTCTGAAGAGAGAAAGTTACCAAAACATCTCAAAAAAATTAAAAAATGCATTAGTTTAAGAAGGTATCAATTGCTGTGAGCAGAACAAACAACCCTGAACAAGCCTTTTCCTCACAGGCTTCCTTGTTGTCTAATGTCACTTTCTATCATATTACCTGAATAATTGTGGCAGATTTACTTCTGGCTTCCTCCAGTTCTGCCTTTTTTAGATTTAAAAATTTCACCCTGGCTAAGTGTCTTCTCCAGTACTTCTGAATAAGAACTGCTGCATTCTCTTTTTTAAGAATGCGTCGATGAGACAAGAACTTGATTGCAGATTTCTGAATTACCCGGGCAGCTCTGTCTCTTTCCTACAAAGAGCAAATTTCCAGTGAACAGTTAGTATGGGAGTTTCTTCAGCACTCCTAAAGAATTCATTTTTAAGCCTCAATTTTATCTATGCTAATTTAATCCATACTAATGGGGAACGCTAGAATGCTTTTCAGCTACGTTTAATTTTTAAATAATAGAAGAACATACAAACATAAAGACAGCCATACCAGATCAGAGCAATAGGACCATCTAAGCCCAGTTCTGTTTCCACATACCAACCAATGCTTTTGTAGAAATCCAGAGACTGTAGTAACAGACTGATGTACATCAGGGTAACAGGAAAAAAAAAAAGCAACTTACAGATATAATACTTGAATATATAAAAAATGTTGTTACAATCCTACTGCCAGTATGGTGCACACAGCAGAAGACCTACATGCACACAGTATAAAATTAAATCCACAGTAATGTCTACATCTACAATGCTTGTTTGTTTTTTTAAATGTCCCCCAACTTTACTATTATTGATTTAAAAACAGTGATAAAGGGGGTGTTTTATCATTAGCATATGTGCTCTAATCGGAGCATAAAAAAGAAACCTTGGAGAACAGTAGCCTTTAACAAATGCAGTTATTCCAGAACAGTCATTAACTATAACATTTTTACTAGAAGACTACCTTAGCAAAAAGGCAGTAAGTTCTGAAAACAAAAATGGTGCTACTATTTATTTAAATGCCAATTTTATTTAAATGCCAATATTATTCCAATAACCTGTGTACTCCGAACAGTGAATTTAATCATCTTTTATTTAGTATTCTTCAAAGTAGAAGCTACCAATATTGTTCATGTAAAAGGTACCTGAGAGAGTTTCAGTTCCTTTTTCAGTCTGTGCTTTCTCCAAGCAGACTGAATTAATCGAGCAGCTCGAGTTTCTTGACGAAGATCTAGAAGCCGCGAACACAGAAATGACAGGTAGGTAATAACAACCTAAATAAACACAGAACATAGCAAGTTAAGGAATATCTAGGAGAGTAGGACATGGCTACCTCAACTCTAGAGGCATCTTACCTTCTCATCAGGAATTGTATTTGACATGTCCGAATGATGAACCATTGCAGGTATTCCACCTAGCTCAGAAGCTGCAGCATCGATCAGCTGGAAGTTTTTCCTTTCATTGTCCAACAGTTCCTTGTATAGGACTGACGTAGTTACAGCTTTGCAAAGAAGCGAAAATATCGGTCAAATCAGATTAAGTTTAAAATGAAATATCTTTAATATGAACCTCTGCGCATCAGATAACTCACTTTGGTCAAACATTCCTTCCATAACATTTAGGGAGGTATCCGACTCTGAGGAGGAGGAGGAAGAGTTTAGTCCCATTTTATGGGTTCTTGAGCATTCTACTGTTTGAGTTGTACGTTGGCACACAGATTCCAAAGGCACATAACAGGGATGATAATGATGAATCAAATGACATAATACTCTGCCATCCGAGAAACACACTGTAAAGTTTTCCACCTGTTTAACAAAATATAGTAAGATATAAGTTAGACATAGAATTTGTCATCTTGTAACTTTGAAATTGATCAAGTATGCTTGCAAAAATTTCTTCTAAACACAGAAAAAAAATTAAGAGACTAGTGTTTCCCTTGGACATTCACTATACAATGACATACAGCTGTAAAAAAAACAGAAACAGATGTGAATGACTACACAGTGTTAGAAAAGGGATTTAATTTCGCCCAGCTTAGCACTAGTGCCTAAAAGTAGATGAAGCCTGCAGGCCACAGGACTGAATTGTAAATGAGCTCAAGAGACATTGCTGAGGATGCGACTGCAAACTCAACTAGAACCAGCCCTCAAAGATACAGAACACAAATGGACAGAGGTAATGGTTAACCTTCGGATAAGATCACAGAATCATTTAGGTTGGATGGGACCTCTGGAGATCATCTAGTCCAACCTCCCTGCTCAAGCAGGGTCACCTAGAGCATATTGCCCAGGATCACATCCAGACGGCTTTTGAATATCTCCAGCGAAGGAGACTCCACCACCTCTCTGGGCAACCTGTTCCAATGCTCTGTCACCCTCACAGTGAAGAAGTTTTTCCTCAGGTTCAGATGGAACTTCCTGTGGTTCAGTTTCTGCCCATTGCCTCTTGTCCTGTTGCTGGGCACCACGGAGAAGAGGCTGGCCTCATCCTCTTGACACTCCCCCTTCCGATAATACTTGTACACGATGAGATCGCCTCTCAATCTTCTCTTCTCCAGGCTGAACAGGCCCAGCTCTTGCAGTCTTTCTTCAGAGGAGAGATGCTCCAGCCCTCTAATCATCTTGGTAGCCCTCCGCTGGACTCTCTCCAGGAGTGCCATGTCTCTCTTGTACTGGGGAGCCCAGAACTGGACACAGTACTCCAGGTGAGGCCTCACCAGGGCTGAATAGAGGGGCAGGATCACCTCCCTCGACCTGCTGGCAACACTCTGCCTAATGCACCCTAGGATCCCATTGGCCTTCTTGGCCACAAGGGCACACTGCTGGCTCATGTTTAACTTGTTGTCCACCAGCACTCCCAGGTCCTTCTCGGCAGAGCTACTTTCCAACAGGTCAGTCCCCAGCCTGTACTGGTGCATGGGATTATTCCTCCCCAGGTGCAGGACCCTGCACTTGCCTTTGTCGAACTTCAGGAGGTTCCTCTCCGCCCAGCTCTCCAGCCTGTCCAGGTCCCTCTGAATGGCAGCACAGTCTTCTGGTGTGTCAGCCACTCCCCCCAGTTTAGTATCATCAGCAAACTTGCTGAGGGTGCACTCTGTCCCTTCCTCCAGCTCATTGAGGAATATATTGAACAAGACTGGCCCCAGGACTGCCCCCCGGGGACCACCACTAGCCACAGGCCTCCAACTAGACTCTGCGCCATTCACCACAACCCTCTGAGCTCGGCCATCCAGGTGAAGCAAAAAGTGAATTTAAGAGTTTTAACCATGTATCACCAGGCATAATTTGCTTTCTACAGCATGATGGGCACCTGGATCTCCTGTCACACAGCTAGCCATCAGAAAGGGAGGCAGTTCAAGGTATTTCTACTTCTTTTTTTTCTATGCCAGTAAAAGCTCAGTAAGATCCTCAACAGCTTTGCTACCAACTGCTACTTGATCAAGCATCACCTTTCCAGGGACGGAGGGGAGGCTGACAGGCCTGGAGTTTCCTGGCTCCTCCTTCTTGCCCTTTTTGAAGACTGGCGTGACATTGGCTTTCTTCCAGTCCTCAGGCACCTCTCCTGATCTCCAGGACCTTTCAAAGATGATGGAGAGTGGCCTAGCGATAACATCCGCCAGCTCCCTCAGCACTCGTGGGTGCATCCCATCGGGGCCCCATGGATTGTGGATGTCAAGTTTGGACAAAAGATCTCTAACCCGATCCTCCTCAACCAAGGGAGAGTCTTCCTTTCTCCAGCCTTCCTCTCTTGCCTCCAAGGTCTGGAATTCCTCTGGACTGGCCTTAGCAGGGAAGACGGAAGCAAAGAAGGCATTCAATAACTCTGCCTTCTCTGTATCCTTTGTCACCAGGGCACCCGCTCCATTCAGCAGTGGGCCCACGTTTTCCCTAGTCTTCCTTTTGCTATTGATGTATTTGAAGAAGGCCTTCTTGTTGTCCTTGACATCCCTTGCCAAATTTAATTCCAACTGGGCCTTAGCCTTCCTTGTCGCATCCCTGCACGCTCTGACAACGTCCCTGTATTCCTCCCAAGTGGCCTGTCCCCTTTTCCACATTCTGTACAAGATAAGGCACTATGAAGCAGGAACATAGCAACCATCCCTGGACGTAGATGCAAACCAATCAAGAGGAAAGGGACCGCTGACTCAGTAAAGAGCATTGGAAGAGACTCACGAGCAGGCCGGGAAATAGGACTGTAAGGAGTATAATTACCCCAAATTTTCTTTGTTCAGGATCCCTCCCCAGAGGGACCCAACTCGAACTGTTACTTTGCTGGACCATCATTTAAATAAACAATTATCTTTGCTGCTAGACATAAGCGAGACTCTGCTCCTCAGAAACCTAGGGTCGAACTATTTCCGTAACAGTTTGGTGACCCAGATGGGACCCTAGGCAACCACTGTCAGACCCTCTCGTCTCCACAAGTCCAACTGCCAGCAGCGAGTGAGTTCACCTGGGAACCTTTGGAGCAAGAGGCACTGACGGGTGAGCGTTAAACTGCCTTGAGCAGATTCTATAAGATAAGTTCAAGTTTGGACATCAGGGTGGGTTCAAGTCCCTCCCTTGTTGCAACCACGTGGCAGAGAGTGCAGCCTGAGGAGCTTAAGGTGCAGGTGCGCAGCTGATCAGCCTAAGGCACATGAAAAGTTTAAGGTGCGCAGCCTGAGGAGCATAAGGCACACATAACCAATTGACTATAGGAAATGTACTCGGCATGAAAAAGGGGACGCCCTTAGCTGAGGTTTTGGAAAATTGGGAAAAAGATAGATAGTAAAGTAGCATTATCCAGAAAGCATACAATTACCTTATGTCAGGAAGATTGGCCATGTTGGACCAGTTCAGGGGGCTGGTCGGAAGAAGGATCCTCAATTCCAAGAAATTAACTATGCTACGAATTATACTGGAAGATGAAAAGCCTCACCAAATGGAGTATTGGTATGTGTGGGACAAATGGGCATGGGACTGCCCGCACCCAAGTAAAAAGAAGAGGGGAACCCCGCGAAGAGTGACTCTCGCTGTAGCAGATGCGAGTACCACGAGTAGTGCACCTGCAGCAACCACTCCACCCTATACTCCTTCGCTCTCACCTCCTAAAGATTTATCTGTCACTCACTCTCCCTCTCTTACTCCTACTTCCACTCTACCAGCTGCTGGACTCTATCTTATGGTTTCTAATGTTTTACCTAATCCAGCAGCGTTAGAGCTGGGCATAGCAGGGGGAACTAACCCACCCCTTTCAGGGCCGCATGTTTTCTAAAAGATGCCCAAGTAATTTAGCACTGTGGGGAATCACAACACCCAGGTTGAGCGAAGTTTTGGAAAGGTGCGCCCAGCTATTTTCTAATACATGCACCGGGTAGTAGTATCACCAATTATTCATGGAGGCTTGGAGTGAACACGAGTCCCTTCTCAGAAGAATGGGCTCGTGCCAATTAGCATAATTGGGAAGCTGCTGAAGAACACCTAAAGGTAACTAGGGGCCACACAATAGATAGAAAAGGGAAAGAAATCATCTGCAAGGTGCTAGGTACCTGTTCAGAAGCTACATATGAAGAAAGGGAGAAGAGGAGTAGAAAGGAGCAGGACCTAAAGAAAGAATAGAAGGTAGAAAGGCAACTGAGTTGTTACTGTCTTTGAAAACTCAACAGCCGCAGAATGCAAAGACAGACTAGGTGATAATAACCCCCACAGGCAACTCCCTACATAGGCAGAATTAATGCTCGGCAACATTATCCACAGCTGTGAAATGGGCTGGGATGATCCAACAGCTGAAAAACCCAACCTGAGGCCCCAGGGAAGAGATCATAGGGTGAGATCAGTGATACAGGCACCCCCCCACCCCGGGAGCAGAAACTAAGTCAAAGGGAAACAAGCCTAAGGGCCCCCACGAACAGAATCTCCAGAACTGAGAAATGGATTGTGGAGGAAAGCCTTAGCCCTAGGCATTCCCAGGTTGACCCTCACGATTCAACTTAAATCTTGAATCTGATTGAAGCATTCCAGAAACGAGATAACGGCCAAAGAGGGGAGCGTACTTTGAGATTCCTCCAGTCTTCCCTCCAGAAAGGGGAAGGGCGGGGGGGGGGGGGTGATGCGCGATTTGGGTCTGCCTGTCTGGCAAGCAGAGGCTTATCAGTGGATAAGTGACAATGGCCCATATATCTTTATTCCAGTTGGTCCTCACTGACAATTGGTGAAGTTTTAATAGATGTGGGAGCACAAATTTCAATGCTAACACAACAAGACACTGAGAAGCTGGGTGCATGACCTGGATGGCGGAGTGTTAAAATTACCAGTGTGAACTGAGCACGTGTTGGCCAAACGGCCAAGGGTTAATTTACGGCTCCCGGGCAAGAGGCTTATAGTGACTACTCGCTTTGCGGTTAAAGATCACAATGAAAACGTTTTAGTTTTCGATGTTTTAAACGGACGAATCTGGCGCCTGCTGAATGGCAGTGCATGGTACTTCAGCTCAAACATTGACCCTCACCCCGGTAGAAATCGGAAGACTCTAGTGCGCATACTTTGCGCAGGCCCACGCTTCCCAATTCAAAAATTACTAACGTAGCACAATATCCGATTTCTGCTGCAGCATGAAATGGAATTTCTAAAGTCATAGCTGATTTGGAGAAACAGCAAATTATAAGGGGAGTGGGTTTTGGAGATAACTCACCTATGTGGCCGGTTCAGAAACCGGACGGGAAAAGTGGCATTTGAGAATTAGTTAGCCTGAGAATTAGTACCTCCTCAGAGGCACCCAGCTCGAGCTGTTACTTTGCTGTACTGTCATTTAAATAAATAATTAACTTTGCCGCTAGACGTACGTGAGACTCTGCTCCTCGGAAACCTGGGGTCAAATTATTTCCGTAACAACAGTAAAACTCCAAAGGAAATGATGAGGAAACAAAAAATAAAGCAATATTTCTACAGTGAGATCCTCAAGAAACTTCTATAGATAGCTTTGCAGTAGTTATTGTTATTCAGGGCAGAAGATTGATACAAGCTCACAATTTAAGTGTTCAGTTCTGTCCTTTAGCAAAATTAGGAGGTATGGCCGTATTCTGGGTAGAGACAAGTTTTTGAACAGGGCTTCCCTTCTTACAGGAAAGAACCAAAAACATGTCCCTTGTAAAAATAACACATCTCTAAGGAGGAGAATCTGTCTTGCCCAAACAGTAGTTTAATTCTCACAGTTCCCACAAGTCATGGAAGCTTTATGCACAAAGTCTTAGGATGAAAAAAGCCACAACAATGCCATATTCAAACAAAAAGGCATTTTTATGCATCAGATCTCCACTGGGAGGCAAAATGTCCTTTTACTCAAATTTGTTTGAAACGAGAGCTGCAGATGAACCCATACAAAGCTGGTTACTCCAAATCAGAGTAAATTAAGTTCACAACAACACTTAAAACCAGCAACAATTGGCTGCTACTACGTATCCGATAGCTTGAAGAATTCTGCTCTAGAAAGAATAAGCATTCTTATGACAGCAAAAGATACGTTTGCAGAAATGTACACAAAAATACTTACCTTGATATTGTAAAATCCACAAACAGCATTAACCCAAGCCATCAGCAGCTCCACATTTTCACTGTAACTTTGAAATGAGCAGTTACTATCATCATCTTGCCTTCTACCGTGATTTGAAAAAGGCTTGAGAGCATCCAACTTTGTTTTTATTTTGTGTGCATTCTTTAAAAACTCAATTTCTTCTCTTAACTGTTCCACATTAAGATAAACATCCACCTATAAGGGAGGGGAAGGAAGGAAAAAAAAAAAAAAAAATTCATTCACATCACTACCAGACCGATACACAACACATTATAGCAACTATATAATGCTGGATACAGAGGCTTAAGGCACAGCATTTTGAAGAGAAATTATTCTCACTTCGCAAGCCACTATCTGCCACATTGTCAGCACAGATGACAGTGACTGCTACCAACTACTTCAAATAAAGAACTTACACTCATATTGCCATCTTTCTGTATAAGAGTTACAGATCAGTTTATTAATCTCTGACAGTTCTGCAGTATGGTCTTTTGGATTATTGCTTTGAACTACTTAATCATATTTTTATTCCTAACTATTTAGTAGGCAAAGTCTACCTCAGCTTATATTTTATTTTTCATAATTTATATTCCTTCTAACTGGATTTGTCACAGCTGGATATTCATTTTCAGAAGACTATCTGACTCAAGTAAATTCTTAAAACAGTCTTAAGAAAACTATTTTTGCTTCCTTAATTAACTTAATTTTTCCACAGACTTTACAATTCTGATATGATAGACCTAAGGTAACTTAAATGGTATTTCAAGAATTTGTTTCTTCAGTTTTGCCCTAACTGTTCAAGGTAAATGGAAAAGCAGCATATAAAGTAAAAGAGCTATAGCTTCAGAGCTTCCTCTGTAATTGTCTGTCAGTGTGACTTCACAAGCTGATCCAAAATTTGATTTGCCACGTCTTTTTCAGTTAGTAACAGCTTACCAGCATTTTGAGATCAACATTATTTTATTCTAATTATCAATTCTGACAGTATACAGCATAAGCTCAAAAGTTAAGTTCTCCCTCAAAAGTTGTACAAATGTATACCAGAAGAGAAAGTACAGTTAAAATGATATCTCAAGTATATCGTTATGTAACAGTTAACAGGCAATGCTTGCATGGCACTTTGAATATAAAAAGGCAAATCCTTCCAGTCTAAATGTTGACTAGTGGAAGCTCCACAGACAACAAGGAACCACCGAAGAACAGCATTTTCATTACCTCGGCTGTAATTAGTATCAAAAAGGAAAAAAAAAAAAAAAAAAGAAAAAAAAAAGGAAATTGAACAATACCTGGAAAGCAAAGACAATTTTCCACAACAGTGCTAAAGTTCGTTCTCGATGTCGATCCACAATGTCTCTGGAGTCAATTGAAGCACCTATCAAATAAAGCAAAGAATTAAAACATTCATTCACTAGTAACTTAAATGCACTTAGAAAGCTCTGATTTCTAGGCCTTACCTCTTTCGTCTTTCAACTGAATTCCTCGCTCTTTAAGCACATTAAGAACAATGTCAACATTATGCATCTTCTGAAGACGACTTATTGCAGGAACTCTCAGATGTTTTGAGAGATGCCAATTTTTTGTGAGAAGTTCCATTGTTCTCCTAAAAAAAAAAAAAAAAAAGGAATTTCACAGCTTACTGCCTTAGCTAAACTCATATTAAGTATTATATAAAAGGAAATAAGTAGTTAACAAGGATTTGTATCAACGCACACAAGACGAATGCCACATTGCAAGTCCACAGCCAAATTTGTTACAGCAAAATCAAATTCATCAAGTGGAGTCTGAATGTGACTGACAGGTAGTCCCAGGAAACCAAGATGGCGGGAAAGGTCACCTTCACCACTCAGGAAGTCTCGAGAAAATGCCAGCAGGATGTCTTTGCTAGTCTAAACAAAAACAAGATAACAAGCTTAGCACTGCAACAGCAACACTTGTTAAGTATTTTCTCAGGTATTTTGATCCCTTATCCCCAAAAGGGCATTCCATATTTCCTTGCTTAATACTTCAAAAAAGACACTTACTTGTTGTATTTTTAACCAGTTTGTACACCTTTAATTTTCATCATACCTAGCTATGTGTCACTAAAAGCACCAAAGCCATGAACACTATTCTCAGTCTGCGTAGTACAAACTCAAGGAAAGGAGACTTTATTTCAACATAAGGAGACTTTATTTCAGCATAATACAAAGTATTTGCTTATCAAGAAGTTTGTGTGACAGATGTCACGCAATCTTACTCATGACAACAAAATATTAAAAGAAAAACACTCAAAAACTGACTTGCAGTTTAAGATCAGCTGCAGTACGCTTGAGTGGCATTTAAAAATAGTGCCGACACTCAGTTTTAGAGAGGGAAGCCAAATAATGCAACATAATTGAATCCTTCCTACAGGACCAACACCTCAAAGTTTTCTTGGGAAGTTGTTTATAGAACCACAAGATCTATAAAAGGCTGAACAGCTAAGACTTGTTAAAAAAGCAGCATGTATTCAGATAAAATATATAAATCCTACATTTGGTCATAAAACAATGTTGGAAGACGACATCAAATCTCAGCTTTCTCACCTTGAACTCTGCATCCTTGCAGAAGAGGCAAGGGTCATGGTCAATGATTCTAGACTTTTTGGCACAATCCAGAAAGCAAACTAACAACAGCAGTTTTTTCAGTGTGAATTTTGATAAAGCTTCTTCATGACCTGGAAAGATAAAACCCATGAAGTCATGGTTTTTATAAATTAAAAATCCAGTGCTAAAGATAACCTGTTTGGGGAAGTAGTAGTTACCTTCTCGGTAAAGGTGAGGCACAGTGGGATGCCTGTATTCTGCTGCAATGTCAGGGTTCCAAAGCAAGCGATTAAGTATAAATATCGCTAAACCCATAACATCACTATTACTCTCCAAAGTTATCAGTTCTCCATAAACAGTCTAATATGCAGGGAAGGAAAGAAAGCAAAACGATTAAAATATTCTTAAAGGAAGAAAGTAAAACAATTAATATTCTTAATTACGGAAGAGTTTTTTGAAACACATACACTATTGAAATTATATAGTGGTAAATGACATAGACATAAATGTTAAAGTAATTGGTCATTAGTCTGTAAACTCAATTAAGTTTTCAAAACAGTCACTAAAGGATGAAGCCAAAAGAAGTTTCAGAAGTAAATCTTATCCAATTTAGAGACATACATGATCATCTCCATTTGCGGATTCAATTCGAACTCCCCAGGACAGCAAGAGTTTCTTACAGTTTAGTAGAGAGTGAAACCAACACTAAACTGCTTTTGTGATATTGGTCAGGGAGTTAACTGCCACTTTGCTTGATAAAATATTTTGCTTTTTAATAAGGTAGGCACCTTTTCAAAGTAAGTCTATTGTTATAGGTTAAAAGGCAGGGCTACATACTACAACTGAAATTAACCTACCTGGATTATTAAAACAGGAGGAGGAAAAAAAAAAAAAAAAAAAACAAAACACAACCCCCCCCCCATACACCACCCAAACACCTGTAGCTAAAATAATTGCCAGATCTCCTTAAAGCTTTGATTATAGACCATAAATTCTGTGCTTACCTCTAGACCTATACGCAGCCACAAAGGGTTGTAAGATAGAAGCCAATTAAGGACTTTCTGTCTTTCTCCTGCAAAATAACATCTTGCAAGATTACATCCAACAAATTCTTCATATCATAACAAAGTGGTTTTAGACTAAATCAACTTACGACACAAATACTCCTTTTTCTGCTTACTAGGAAATACTCAGGCTTTTAGTATTCTTACCTATATCTTTCCATAGATGTCTGTCTTTACGAACCAGCAAACGTCTACTTTCAATCTCAACTTCCAGCTTCTTAATAGCTTTGACCATTGTTTCAGATGTAAACAAACGGCAAGCTGCACGTCGTAACTTATTCAGCCTACGGTGAGCTGTATAAGCTTTTAGAGATACTTCATCTTTTGTTGGTGCCTTAGGAACACTGGTTTTATGATGGTTCTCTACTCCCAAGAGAAGAGCAGCTGCATTTACTGTTTAAACATACACAGATAGCATACCTTTACATCTCAGACAAACATTTTGTTATTTTACTTTTGAATAATGATTTTATTCCTCAGGAACCTTATGATCTGTTGCACTAAATATATCCTGTCAAGCGCATGAATTAGTCCAGTATTTAATACAACAATACTGATTTCATAAGCAAGCAATACTAGCAATTCAGTTCCAAGATGAACTGTATCATCTTCAATTTTTTGTACTGTTTTGTCTGCCTTTATCTGGAATACAACTATACTATCAATTTACTATGGTGGCAGCTACAATGATTTTTAGCAGGTGCGGATTTCCCCTACAGACCCACTGAGGGCTGCTGCAGCTGCATGTTCCAGGGTGTATTTCTTGTTCCAGTGCATACTTCCCATTCAGGTGTGCTGTATGCTAGGCTTGGCGCAAGCAAGCATGCTATCCATACTTATCACAACAGGGGAAATAAGACTCGGAAAGAGTCAGACAGTTATAAAGTTCTGCTGGAATGGACTGCATCGTCTCCAGTAAGAGGTTTAGCATGTTTCATGTTTTCTATCATAGAAACATATTAACAAATATTTGCTTTATAATTATTGCAGTCTAAACTAAAACGCTGAACAGTGAAAGACGTCATACATGAATAAACTAAAAAAGAAACAAAAGATCTACTCTTATGTAAAAGTTTAGTGTTACATACAGTAAAACAACAAATTGAGACTAGCATTAAGCTAGTACTTCTAGTTATATTCATTAATATTATTAATACAAATTATACATTTGGGAAAATTAAATCCTCATACTTTACCTTGTGAAGTATTCGTTTTCACAGTGAAGTCATCAGGGGTAAGTATAAAATTTAACCACCAGGTGAAACCTCGTTCTTGTTTCTCTTTCCAGCGTTCATCATAAAACATGTTTTTAGCAGCAAAAGGCATCGGATGTCTAGGAATAACTTAAACAAACAAGTCTATGAAGGGGAGACTTACTATGTAAAAAAAAAAAAAGAGAGTTATTCAAATGTTTGATAAGCAACATACAGCTCACTATCCAATATATTATGTTTGACACTCCATTTAGCACTATAACAGAAAAATAGCAGGTTAGAATCTTCAGTGACTTGCAGATCAACTGCTGTTAAATCAATTTCCGTCACAAATCATGAATTAGATTATCAAAGCACTTAGAATAAAAACAAATTTCTAGAACTCAAGCCATTTGCCATGCATCTTAGGGCAAATTCAAGTTCAGTTGGATTACATCCAGGAATAGCCATTTTATGGACACATTTTTCTGACCAGAACGGACTTAATATTATCAGCTGTGTGAAAGCAGTATCTTTTTGGTAGCAAGTTCTCTCTTCTGAGCTACTCTGTTGTATTGAGCTGTTATCAGGGCAGAAGAAGTATTTCACTAATCACCATCAGTCAGCTGGGAATGCATCTGTGATGTAGCTTTTCCCAATTTCTGCTTACACTGGAGGGAAGAAACATTTACTTTCAGCTGACCATGCAATGCAACCAATTTTCCTTAGAGTGGTCAGAGTCAGCATGAAAGATATATTTTTTTTCTACTAGATATTATTTCATTTTATTGTCTCCTATTCCACCCCAACTCTACCCAGCTGGGTCTTACCAATCACAAGCAATATTAGTACAGTAATTATGACATTCAGTTTAGTGAATATTGTTTTGCCACAAAATACCAAAAGTCTGCCTACCTGTTTTCAATGGTTTCACAAACATCAGGTGAGACTGAGCCAATCCAGCAACAGGTTTACTAATTCTGTTGATAGTTTTAGACGATTTCAGAAGTGAAGAACCTGTGAGCATTGACATACAAATATCAACAAATATCTGTCAGTGAATGTGTCATCAAACAGTGAAATATTAATGTTCATAACACTGATAAACATAGAACTGGAGTAATTCCCTATGAATCCATCTAAGATGCCAGTAATTTCTTATTTGCGAGTGATGACGAAAGTCCAGCAAAGCAGCTTGACTGCAATCAAAAGGCAAAAAAATAGTTAAGAGTGAATAAGAGCTATTGTATCTCCCTGTTCTTCCTTGCAATAAGGAAATTTACTCTTCACACTTTTTCCGTTTTTCCCCTTTTCATCCTTATGTATTACTCGCTTTGACTGGGAACAGATTCAGTACTGCCTCAGGGAGGGGGGAGACATTATGGAATTTCTGAGTCGTTAGCTAGGAAAAACAACCCAGCATTAAGGTGGCAAGCTTGCACTCACACAGATTCAATTCACTGCTCTGCACATGTTTACAACTCTGAGATGAGTCATACCGAATCTCAAATCCTCATTCAAGATAATAGCAGACTGGTTATCAGAAGTTATAGATCAAAGCTTGAATGTTGCTGAAACCCAAAATGGTACACAGTGGCAATGTAATCTCATCATAATATACCGCAATCACTGTGAAGCTTCACCTTGATCTAAGCTAATTCAAAGAGCTAACCAGCATGAAGCAAGTTAACATACAACATTCAGAAAATCCTCTGTAGTCTGATTGGAAAAAAGGACAGGCAAGAGATACACATGTCTTGGAGAAGAGCTTTTTGACAAGCGTTTTCCCCTTTCATTCTCATTCATTCTAAGAATTTCAGACTCAGCATTGCTTGGCTGAAAACACAAAGCTAATTGGCAAGAAAATATATTAGAATATGTGAAACTGTGTATTCCATAAACGTCTAGGGGAAAAGAGGCATATGGCATGGCTCACCTCTTCCCACAGTTAGATTGCATGCTGCATTGAAACTCATCGCAGAGCAGCCTGATCCGTGTTGGAGTCAGGCAAAGTGTTAGCTAGTACCACCCACCACCTAGTGGTAGAAGTGCTTATATAAATCACAGGGGAAAAAAATAGCTCTAGGCTTTCTGAATTCTCCTGTCAAGGTGTAAAAATACATGTTTTCAGTGCAACCATTTTGTCATGCTGACAGCGAACAAACGATTAAAAAAGCATGCCATTACAGATGGACTGTATTTGTTGCCTGACAACCCCCTAATAAGATGTTACTTCAGAAGCAAGATAGATAGAGAGATCATAAATTAGAGGTTGCACTCTCCTGTTCAGCTGAATTAGTTTTCCATAAAACATTCAATGCTACAGAAGAAAGAGTTCATTCCAATCTTCTGTATTGAGTTCTAATAAGTTTTAGATACATTTTGATCAAATGTAACAAAGCTGGACCTTAAACGATCAAACTAAGGACGGGCATTTCCAAGTTATTTCTTGGTAATAGAGTATGATTTTTCTTTTTTGCCCAGCCTTAAAAACACCTCCTGTTGTCTCCATATGCAATTAAAAGAATGCCAGGTTATATTTCACAAGAAAAACAGACAATAAAGAACATAATTCAAAGCTGTTATCTTTGCATTTTATGAACAGGATTGAAAGAGTATTAAAATACCCCTAGGTCATCTTGGGCTCACAGAACACTTCCTTGTCCAATCCATCCTTACACCAATAGATGAACAGGGATAAACTTAGAGATAACACTTTTTCCTGTTGGATATTGGCAGAGTGAATTTTTATGCAAGCTTTCCTCAAAAGCTTCAACTCTGAGCATATTATTGAAAGGCCCAGATCAAAAATAGACCACAGAACAGATTAGAACATAAGAAACGCAAGAAAATTCAACTTTAAGTACTTTCTGAGCTCCACAATAACGTCATCAGATAAAAAAAAAGTTTAAGGCAGCTGGCAGTGATCAGTTCCCTTCCTCCCTGCAGATGGGCTTACCTTACACACAACTTGTTTAAACTACCATGTATGCATGATACCAATTAACACATCAATGATAACACATCTGATAGCAGTCACTGAAGTTATAAAGGTAATAAGAAGGGTAAAAAGCCCCTGCAAATCTTGCAAGCCCAAACTTAAGCATACATTCATGTTACGGTGCTGGACAAATATGCCCCATCACACAAAAGGATGCCTGTGTTTCAGTCACAGGGGAAGTTTATATAGTCATTAATTGAATTCTGTCAGAGGCTGTTTAACTCTGACTCCTACTAGGATAGCATATGTTCTTTTACAGGGTCTCCAGTGGAAATCCCAGTGGTTTCAAACCTAAGCTTCTGGGTAGCTAAACCAAAGAAAGCAACATATGCTATTTTGAGCTGAAAGCCATGATGAAATTTTCCTGGTAGCTATACTGCAGGGACTGCATGAATATACTGGAAATGAAGAATGGGGTTCTGTAACAGAAAGAAGTATTTCTTGTGTTCCAGACCACATTTAGGAATGGAACATTTTGAAACCCCAAATACCTTTAAATACAAGAAATTAGTTGTCCTGATCTTCAGGCAACCAAGCATCTACATACAAGACACACCTACACAAGACTACGAACAAGCTGATTACAGAGAGTAAAAAGGAGGCAGCATGAAACACAGACTTAGGAGCTACTTTTTTTGAAAATACAACAGTAATACATTCAAATATTTGCAATGGTTAGTGTATATATGACAGAAATGGGACTTTGACAAATTTTGTGGAGTGAGTACAACCCCTGGTAAATCTGAATTTCATAACAAAGACTCTGCTCAGGAATCACCAGACAAAACTCCCTCTTACTGTCATTAAGAAGGTTTCCAAAAGAATAAAGAAAACTTGAAGCCAATCGCAAACAAAATTTTGACCTGATTCTCAAATTTGTAAGATGCAGATAATATCTAACAAATTGCAAGGACTAACATTTCAGAGATAAGAAATACACAAAAATTGCGTAGCAAACTGAACTGTCTCGTAATTGAAGGCATCTTTCATAAAGCAGTACATAAAGGAAATTTTGCTCACCAGCTTTCTTTCGCTGCGGTATTTTCTCTCGGCTTGTATGTTTCAGGGCTGCTGGTCTAATAGCAGTATGTGTTTTACTGTTCACGCTAGACATAAGAGTTCTTTTTGTTTCAACTTCTTCCACATATGCTGAAACTGTAACCCTAGTATTTTCTAGATATGCTTCACTCTTCCTCTTACGGCACAATGAAGTTGGTCCAGTAGGAGATGAATTTACTTTATCATTGTGACATTTATTTTCAACTGAAATGGGACCTATAACTGGAAGGTGTTTCGATATTTCTGCCTTTGTATGTACAGGAACCATGTTAGCACATTCCATTACTGCACTGTTGAGGCATTTTCTAGATTTTGGCTGGGACACTTCTGTTCCTTTTCTTTCAACAGCATTAGGCTTATTTTTAATGACAGTAGCAGAAAGGATTGGACGTTTTTTTGGTTGCTCTCTCTGAGAACAATTGCAGGTTTGAAGTTCTTCTGTAGAAGGAAAACTGAAGTGATTTTGTTTGAGTTTGTCATAATGAAGTACCTGCGATTCTATGTTACGTGTCTCAAAAACGTCATTTAACTTGTGTCCTGTACAAGCATGTACTTCTGCCCGTATGTCTCCTTTTTTTTCCCACGATGAAGGCAGATATTTCTTTGTGACACAAGTCTCTGTAGTAGAAGATACTGAAATTGCCTCAAGTTTGGGAATCTGTGACTGCACATCTGACAAGGTATCTTTCACAAACTGATCAGGTGACAGAATTGGAGCAGGCTGCTCCATTGCAATATCTACATCAACTTGATAACTGTCATTTATAAAAGAATCTGGACTTAAAATTCTCCTCACGCTTAAAATGTGCGCAGTTGCTGAACGTTCAGGAGTGTGAACGGGTGAAAGCGTACAATTACGAATTACTTCATTATTTGAAGTTGGCAGTTGTACTAATCCAGTGGAAGAACTGCATGCGCTTTCAGATTTTAATTCATTATGGTGATCAACAAATTTCTTGATGTAACAGTTGTCTATTTCAGGTAATAGCTCCTCATTTACAGCTGCAGCAATATCCGAGAACGTAGTAGATCTTCTCATTGAAACTAGTGTACAAACAGCATCATGATGTTCCTCTAGCACAGGTGCAATAGGAGATATAGGCAGCTTATTTTCTAGGCCAACAAGGGAGTCATTTCTTGGGGATACGCTACTTTGCCTTGTATTCTGATTTTCACATGACTGAAGTGGGCTTCTAAGTCTATCTACTCTCTGTGAAACTTGAAAGGTTTTATTAACATTTTTAACTTTTGAATTTCTTTTAACTCTTGTTGAAACAGCTGTTTCTGAAGTGTTTTTCTTTTTTATATTATCCCAAAGGCTCTTCTGAAAAAGAAAAATGAAAAAAACTTAGCATGCTGAATTTTGACATAGTTTTATGTGCAAAATGAGTATTATTAGTACACATTTTAGTATTCAAAAATCTAAAAATACTTCAAAAAGAGCACCTGGCTACATAGCACAGATAACAAAGACAGGTTGAAGGAAGTGGGTTTGTTCAGCCTAGAGAAGAGAAGAGATGCGATAGGAATGCACAGTGATATGACAAAAGGCAAAGCGCACAAGCTGCTTCTGGGGAAATTCCATCTGGATACAAAGAAAAATAAGTTCTTCACCATCAGGAGAGCAAAACATAGGAATAGGTTGCGCAGAGAAGAGGTGGAACCTCCCTCACTGGAAATACTCAAGATCCAGGATGACAGGGTGCTGGATAACCTAATCTAAGGCCTTGCTGTCAATAGAAGGTTGAACCTGACAGTCTCCAGAGATCCCTTCCAATTTAGACTTCTCTGTGATTGCAATGAATTGGAACACGCATCAAAACACGTCAACAGAACTACAGTAAACAGCACAAACAATACAGTTGATAATAATAAATGAAGAAAAACTAAAGTCAATGTTCCTAGTCCAAAAATCACCATAATTTATTTCCAGGCTTGAAAACAGGTTTTCCAGTCCCATTTTGGTTTTATTCTCTAAGCTCTAATACACAAGCAAATATTTTCTAACCCAAATAAACAAGTTTCAGGCCACAGACACTACCAGAGACATTTATCAATTATTAATTCACTGTCATTTAATTTTCTACTAATAGAAACGGTATCTGTTTCAACTGGGTCAAAGTAGCAAAGTTAAACACACTCACCTTTTTCTTCACAGGCTGCTCAGCAACACCCAGGAGCACAGCTTGATGTTTTACAATGCCATTAATAACAAAAGTTACCAGTTCTCTAACTTTTCCTTCTTCTGATGGTGTCCATGTTACAGAAACAAAGATTCTTTTTCCTGACTAATGGAAAGAAAGAAAGGTTTAATATATAGCACTAAGGTACACTGATGCAAGATCAAATACTCAATAATCAAATGAAATGAAAAGCAGTACACAAAAGTTGTGTTTAGTATTTCATATAGTCAGAATACATAATTGTTGAAAGACAATTTTTCCCTTCTTTGACATCTAAATTCAAGCAACCTCAATCAACAATGTTGTCTTAATAAAAGGGCGTATAATTCTTGGTGTAATTATAACGGAAAACAAGCAACAGCACATAGGAACAACATGTAATAGAAAGAACAAGTTATAGAGTGTAGGCGAGAAGAAGAAAGGACATTATTTTTGCACATAATAACCAATAAAATCCTCTATAGTCATTTTCAGAAAATGGTATTTGGACTAATAATTATGGGTTAATTTTCAGGACCCTAACTGAATCTAAATAAAAGAGTCAAACTTTTTAGTTGTTTTTTTTTTAAATTGACTTACAAAGTCAGTTATTCTGCAAAGATGAGATTAGACATACAAGTTCAGTGAATAAAAATGAAGACATTATGTGTCTGATCTGCAAACAAACAGGGATATCACGGAGCTAACTATGATCTAAGATTTTTCATGCTCAAGGACCTACTTCAATGATCTCCTGATATCAATACTAACAGACCAAACAATGCTTATACCTCAAACTAGATCAATAAGAGACTATGAAAAAGACCAATCTTTTGAGCATTTGAATTAAGAGAGTTCCATCTCTTTGGTCAGATACATTAAATGAAAATATGCTAATTAGTTAATTCAATATGTGACTATTCAGCAAACCTGTCAAAAATAATCAGTATTTATTAATTATTACAGGAACTTAATTACACAGTGAGAGAGCCCAGGTTGCTTATAAACACCTTGTTCCAAGAGCTCTCCAGAGTGTTTTCTCCTCTTCCTTACAGAGAGGCTCTAGAGGACCACAGATACATATTTGTCTAAATGGTTCTTAAAACGGTTCTTAAAAAAAAATTGTAGTTGATTTGATTACCTATTTGCTGATTTTATTTCCTTGGGAATTGTAGTTAAGACTTATTCCAAAAATCAGCCTGCTTTACTATTAATCAACATGAAGAGCAAGGAATTAGCATTCTGTTCACAACAACTCTCTCAGTCTTTTTTCTAAACAAACATCCACCTTTTAAAGAGGTTATTAACAATAAACAAAAAAAAAAACCCTGATTCTTCTGTCTGTCTTTCTTTAATCTGTCTATACAATTGAACTGAAGCCCATGTTACCCGTTAAACCTCTTCAGTACTAAGCACAGAGAATAATTAATATTTTCTTGTATCTTACAGAGACCAGGAAAACATCTGCCCCCACCTCTCCCCCACCACAGTGGGGCTTTTGATTCAGAATGACTGCCTTCATATCCTGAGATAGCCCCAAACCTTCCCCTGGGGTCCTGCTGCCCAGTCGGTGGCACTAAGTGCAACACCTGCATTTCTCATCAAATTGCAGCTTACTAATTTCAGAACGTCCCCACTTTCTCAAGATCATCTAGAATTCTAATTCTGTCATTTAAAACACGATCTCCTCCCTTTTAATGTAATCTGAAAGACCTGAAAGCAATAAAGTAGAAATTATGCTTCAGTACAGACTGGAAATACTGACTGAAACTGAATGTAGTCCCACTACGCTGTTGGTACGTTACTTCCAGCACAGGGGCGTCGAGTCTTTTCCTTTTTAACTTGCCCCCACCCTACGTTAATTCCACCTAGCCCAGTCTCCAGGCTGGCACGTCAGGGCTGGCAGGCGAGGACACATCGCCAGCCCCGCAGCAGGTTTGCCGCAAAGCTCAGCCTGTCAGCGAAAGGAAACCGGCAGCGTTTGCCGTCATTTTTTTCCCTGACAGTCTTAAAGTCATTCCAGCTACAAGCCTAAAGAGCCTCAGCCACGGTGCTGTTTTCCCAGGTCCCGGCTTCCTGCAGACTTAGTACTTCATTTCGAGGTGAAGCCGTGGCTTTCCCAGGGGCAGGATTTCGCTGCAAGCCCTTCAGCCCGCGTTAAACCCGCGCAGTGGCTCCCCCCGCCGACAAGAGCGCGTGGCTC